TGTCTTTGAAATACGGTTCAAGTGTACTTTAATGTCATTTCTATTGAAATGCCAAGTATTATTTATATTTGTAATTACACATTTGTAATGAAAGAGTACATTTAAAATAGATTAATGTAACACTTTATTTAAGTTGTCCTTGTTACATGTACTTACATGTAATACAATAAATTATGCATAATTATATGCAAGTAACCCTAACCCAAAGGTTAGGCCACTGATCAGTTTTGTTTTAATAACAGTTATATTGGACACCTAGCTTAGTGACATGCATTGACTAGCTGTATTTTAACAGGTTAAATCTCTGTAATCCTTTTGGTTTGTTTTAAGTTAAAACAGGAACTCACCAAAACCACATGAGCAGTGTTGGGTTGTACTGACACTGGGTTGCATAATCTTAGACTTTTGCCTTTGAAAAAGTCTTCAACAGATATACTGTGACCAATATTAGAATGAAGTTTTTTTTTGTTTGTTTGTTTTAATTATTCTTATTTTCAACATTACTGTGTTTAATTATTACATTACAATATTCTGTATATGATTACACTATAATAACATAGACAAAACACTCGGTTAATATTTGATTGGTTGGCATGATAGCTGAAGAGTTAAACACAGAGAAGCTCTTCCAAGGTGATGGGTTTCATCTCTAGCTTGAGGGGAGTCTATTCTAGTTTGAAATGACTCTCTCTGAAATGACAGCTGACAGGCTGGACAAAGACCTAGACTAGACAACAGACACAGCTATGAAAGTTCCTTACCCACAGGAAACACTACTTATAGTTGAGTCAATCATTTCAAAACTGTTCTTGATGTTGTTGTGATGCAAATACCAGAAACAGTCTATCCACTGATATACTTATGACAGTTATGTTATGTTAAAAGGGTAAGTGACTGCTGTGTACTAGAAGTGAAAAACACCACTGTATGATTATCAGCATAAGTAAAACTTGAAAAACTTGTTGTACTGAAAAGTCATGTTCAAATACGAGTATCAAATATGAGTAAGCTTTTGAGGAATGCTTACTTGTGCATCTCTCAATCATCGTTACATTGCATTAAATATTTTGATCATCAAACTAAGCATTTAAATATCATCTTTTTAAGACATATTATTGATTCATAACTGATATATTATGCATTTTATGTCAGGAGTCTGGTATAAAGATCTCATTAGAATTTAATCTTACTTCTTGGTCATATAAATATCAGCATTTGCACCAAATTGGATATGTTGCTAACTTTGGGCCTCTGCATAAAACTGGGGTGTTTTATAAAAGCCATGATGTATCCAATTTTTTTGCTAAAGGTCCAATTCTGTTCTATTTTAAAAAATAAATAAATCTGACTTTTATTTTATATGACAAGATTAAAATCACTAAAACCCTCCAGTATCGCTTTCAACAATACAAACACCATTATCCAAAGCCATTAGTCTGAACCTATAGGCATATTAAATATTGAGACAAATAGCCAACAACCCAATTTCAAATATTTATACAGAGTCATGTGTCTACTATGTTTCTGCACAGTTGACATGCTCTTCGCCTCGCTGTGCTCTGCTCTGCCTGCTTGACCGGCTTTCACTGTATTGACAAGATTGTTACAGTCAAGCACACGTCTAGAGGTATTTGCTTATCAGTGTGGAATAACACAAAGCATGTGACCAGCAGGAAAAAGAAAAGAGACTAAAAAATAGACTCCACCTAGAAATGACCCCGAATGCAATGAGTCATTGTGTATGTATTTGAATATGCATACACACATATACACCCACATCAATGGATGTGTGCAAAATTCTAGCAGTGAATCATTGTGTTTGCATTTGAATACATGTTTGTTTGTAAATAGATAGGCAGACAGACAGACAGACAGACAGACAGACAGATAGATAGATAGATAGATAGATAGATAGA